CACCATATTCTTCATTCTATTCCTGACATGGGACCTAACATTTGGCCAGTCGAAAACCATATTGCTTGCTATCGCCTTGCTTTTTATATAATTCCTACCACAGAAGATGGGCATTGCTGAGAAGGTTTTGAAGCCAAGGTTTGCTGTGAGGACAGGGGTGTCAGCATAAGCAGCTCTGCAAAATAAGCCATTCAGAGGAGAGCAGCAAAGCCCAGCCCATGAGGAACCCTTAATACTGTGCTGTCAGTTGCTCATCATGCCTGGTGAGTCTTGGAGAGCAGTAACATCTTCTGCTGGGAGAGGAGGTGCCACTGGAGCCCATCACATTGAAGGAATAGACAGGCCAGTACAAGAGTCACTGAAGAAACAAGTGCAAGATTTCACATGGATTTTGTGTTGTCCATCATACTATCCAGAGGGCACAGCCAAATGCCTTCCCCAACATCCTGACAGGAAGCAAGATCCCCACTGCCCTATACAGGGAAGAAAGTCTCTGTGGGGGCTAGAGCTATGGGTGATGACTGGAAATAATTTGTACCTGAAGTTAATACTAGAGTTAACATTTGGATATCTAAAAGCACCTCTACCCAAAGCCAGCTCTCACCACCTCCTCTTCCTCCATGCCAGAGACTGAGATTTCCTCCTAGAGGTTATTCTTGCTGCCAAACACAGACCACTGAGGAAACAGAATACAACTGTGTACTCAGCATGAAAGTACACTTTTTTCAGACCCATATGATGCAGCTTTTTGTTAATGCACATAGTATTTGGTCTCCAGTGCGACAGCTTGCTGCAATACAAACATGCAAGTTCAAAGAAGTATGTGCAGAATACTAAAGGAAACAATTTAAGTGTGAGGAGGAATACATGGTAGAAGAAATTCTGACACCTATGCAGCATGTGGGGAGGGGATACCCTGAAAACAGATCCATAATATTTTTCTATTGTACTTAGCCCACATGGAAGATGGGGATGCAACCAGCTTTTTCCTCATAGCACGTGCAGAAATCCTGCTAAGAATCTTCAACATGGAAAAAATTGAATTAAACAATAGATTTTGCACTGTCTAGCTAAAGAGCTTAAATAATGAATGTCCATTTTTTCTTTTAGTGGAGAAGTTCTTCTAAATAATATGAAAAATAGCTTTAAGAAAGCTGCTGCTTTTCGGAGGACCCTCCAGCTAGGACTCCCACCTTTTTTCATTTAAAACCCCCAAAATCCAGGACCCTTAGTGCAACAAGACACTTTCCTACTCATTAAAAAGCTGATGCACAGAGGATGCAACCTGCTCTCTCAGAGCAGGTTGCTATGTACTTCCATAGCTCATTGATCCACACGGCAGGCACGTAAGCTGCCTTTACTGGCACCTGCCAGGCACAAGTTCGAAAGCAAAGGGAGAAGAGTAACCCAGGAAAATAGGGGTGGCCAGGGGAGAATTGATGGTTCTACCTTTACCTGAACTATACCTACGCTGTCTTTAGTCTTCTGCTCACAATTCCCAACGCTCTTATCACCCAGTTAATGACCTTGAAACTTGCCAGGTACTAATATAACCCGCATATTACAGCAATTAAAGAGATTGCACAAATACAATTACAGCAGTTCTTCCACCCATAGTAAAAAAAAAAAAAAATGCAGGAAAGCATGTGCCACATTGCTGTTTATTCAAGAGACAAGCTTTGTCTACCCAGATTACACAGCCAATAAAGAGACTGGAGGATATTCAACAAGCAAGGGTGAAGCAAAGCTACAATGCCCTCTGAGCCTTTAAGACACTATGGTAACACGTGTCACAAGAAACACACAGCCTAGCTGCGTTATCTGGGACAGTAGGTGGCTTGCTTTAGAAAGGGAGAAACACTGTGCTGACTTTGACACGCTCACATTCAGAAGAGTAGGAGAACACACAGAACTAGGCATTTGCAAGTGAACCGGAAGGAATGAGGTAACATAACCTACAGGCCAAGAGTGCTGTTACAGTAATGCAGGCACTGGTTTGTAAAGGGCATGGAGAAGAGAAGAACCTGAACGTTTGACCCAAAAGGATCTTTGGTTTCGTTGCAAAAGGACACAAGTTTAAAAATGTGAAGAGTTTAAAAAACAACCATGCAATTCACAAAATCACAGAATCATAGAATGGTTAGAGTTGGAATGGGCCTTAAAGATCATCTAGTTCCAACCCCCCTGCCATGGGCAGGGACACCTTCCACTAGACCAGGTTGGTCAAAGCTCCATCCAACCTGGCCTTGAACACCTCCAGGGATGGGGCATCCACAACTTCCCTGGGCACATGTACCAACAGCAGCTAATGCATGCAAACAGTAATATTGAAGGCAGCTTGCACCTTTGTTACAGTTAACTACACAGGCATAAAAGCCATACATGAACCACTTTGCATATTGCTGCTTCTAGAAACTCATTTGCCTAATTCCTTCCACATTTGGGAAAATACTTCTCTTACTGCTGGGTAACACATTCTCCTAGGTACAACTTTTTCTTAAGTTTACACCTGTGTACACTCAGTAATGTTACTTCAGGTAACTTTAGCATTTCTGCCTTGTCATTTATGACTGTGTACCTTTATTAATGTTGTACACTGGCATTTTTAAATGATCATTACAACTTAAGGTTTGTTTTGGTTTGCTGAGTTTTTTTTATTTTTTTGCAGTCTCACCTCACAGGAACACCACATGAAGTGATGAAGGACACTGTGTAGCTTCACACTTCTGAGGTGCATATTGACCATCACTGCCCTTAAGATGCCGAGAGCAAAATCTCATAGCACTTTTGTCTTTACCTGCACTGGTGGCATTTATCATCCGTTGTTCAAAGATATCCCAGAAGAAAAATGGAGGAGCAGTTATAATCTCCCTAATTAGAGCTGATTACCGTTGATTGCCAAACAGCCTCATAGCCTTTCCCCCAAGTTTACCAGGCTATCAGGGTAGTCAGGCATCACAATGTAAGTAGATGCTCTGTGCTGTTTTGAAGCTGCTGTAGTTAAATAGGAAACAAAATGAACTAGAAACCCAGCAGTGCAGAAAGGCTAATACACCATGTGGTTAATCCTCCCAAGTCAACAACAAGCTGCTTCCTTGGTCTCAAAACTCTGATGTAATCAGAGATATCTGATGCAATTGGTTTTAATAACACAGAATGCAAAATAAAGGAGGGGAGTGTTTGGCTCTGTACAAGAACTAGCATAGAAGCATGGTAAGATCCATAAGGATCAACAGAAAAATACTATCAGTACCCTTATCGGTGACTTCCTAAAGCAAGTCACAACAGTGGCCTGTCACTCTAAGGAGACCAGTATAATCATTGTGATAAAACTTGCAGAGAAAACATTTTAAGTGACAAACTCCTGCCTCAGAATCTCATTTGAAATATATTTAAATACCTGTTTTCATTACTACAAAGACAAAGCTCAGTGGGAGTAGGGTTACACTTTGAATCCACCTCTCCTAAAAGCAGGGTCTCCCACAGAGGGCTTGTTTCAATTCAAATGAACATATTTTAGTCAGGCAGCTTTCCAATCCAAATTTGCTTTAACACTGCCTTTCATCACTTGTTGCTTTGAGGCATTTTAGCCTTTTCTAATAATTCGTTCAAAATGCATTTTAGTTCTTCGGATATAAGACTTGATTTCGTCAAATAAAGATACAACCTTTTGTCTGGAAAGTAACTCCCCCTCCCCCCCTTTTTTAAGAAATCAACATTGGTACTCCTGAAGGGAGGGAAGAATCCACCACTAACACTAAAGCTGGAATATTTTATCCCTAATTCAATAGCCTTGCCTGCCTTACCAGGTTCCACATGCTCAGTAACACAAAGTGTTTTGTCAGACATACAGACAATACCAGGAGTTAACAGATTTAATTAATCAATGAACTGACATTTATAACAGATACAAACTCAAAATCCACCTTTTAAGCTGTGACTGAGGGAGGAGGGGTAGAATGAACCATGGAGGCAAACCTCTCACTTTCTGCTCTCCATCTGCTCTTGCTCTTTTTTAAACATAAAAATTATAGTTTAAAATATATATTAAGTGTGTGTATATATGCACATAGATACACATACAGAAACAGAGTGCACACGTTGCCCTCTACTGACCAGAGTCCAATACATAAGTGTCCTCCAACACACACTGCTCATCATACATGATCTCCAACTTATGTTTGACAGGACCATACCAGTGTGTGTATCAATTCCTGTTACTTGCTGGTACAGTAAGAGGCACCTCCTTCAGTTCAGCAAACACCAAGGCTTTTTCAGAACCCAGTTTTAAGGCCTGGGGTTTCTCTGCTTTTGTTCCTCCTACCTGGTGATACACATAGCAGGACAGTGGGGGAAAAAAATTTAAAAAAAAAAAAAATCAAACCAACCACATATGCCAGCTGCTTATGGATTAGCCTATGTCTACCTACATACCAGCGCATAGTTAGGCATTTTAATGAAATACCAGGGATCTGGGAAGGGGCAGAAGAGGGGTAAGTCAAGCAGGAAAACAGAGCTGAGAGGCATGGACTGCTACTTTTGGGCCAACCTGTTTGCAATTCCTTCCCTCTACTCTTTTCAGGAGTACTGCCATTTTACCTTTCAACATGAATACAAACTAGAAACATCAAACAGAAGGAGATCAATAGACACCATAATTCTTAACATCTCCCTCCTCCATCCCTACACTAAACAAACTCTTTAAGTGTCCGCTTCTGTGACTTGGGGGAAGGAAGGCACTTTAGACCAAAGTTTAGACACACACTTTAGATCAGAAAAAATATAGAATATTTTTTAATTTAGGAAGTAGCTCAGTAAGTTCAACCGTAAGCTTCTCGGAGGATCTACGTGTTATATTAAGAGGCTGTAGACCACCTTTCTGACAGTGACTGACCATAATGTACTATTCATAAGTACCTACAGATGGACATGAGAGGAGTAGACTGGGGTTCTTGAAGTCGGGGGAGAAGGAAGACTTCTGCTATTGTTTCTATACTCACCCAAGGCCCAGTATGATGCAGCTTCCAAAGGTGGAGCACTGCTGTAGAGAGCATGGATATACATGAGGTGAATCATCAGCTCAGCCAGGCACCACCAAAAGAAAATACGAATTACGCCCACAATTAACATGCTGAGATTGGTCTTCAAACTGAAGGCTTCTTGTCTCCTCATCTAAAGAAGAAATCCAAAGACATTAAATGGCACATAACTGACTGTTTTGCTCAAATATTCATCCTGAGAACTTCTTAAAGTTTCATTTGTTATTCATTACTATTACTAAGGAGACCATTTGACTACACCATTTGGAAATTCCTGACAGTCTTGAGGGAGACTGGTTTGTCCATTCTCAATCTCAGCAAGCAGTAGAAATCAGCAAGAGGCAAAATGTGAACATACACTGCACCAAACTGTTGTAGAAAAGGCCAAGTGCTGTTAACCTTAAAAAAAAAAAAAGCTTCTCATGTCTGCATTCTGTTAATTCCTGTAACTAGATCAACCTCTAGAGATAAGCAAAAATGTTTACAGAAACAGCATCTATAAAGGAGGTTTTCCAAGCAGCAGCCCTACCTAACACAGAAACAATGACTGCTTGCTCTTAAAAATACCTCCAACTTCTGCCAGCTGCATGGGATTGATTATTTGAGGACAGTTCATTTTTCTCCTGTAGCGTTGCCAAGGTCAGCAAGACCTACATGACGTGCTGAGCAAATGACAGTTAAGTGAAAGTCAAATATCAGATAAGACAAGGTTTGCAGTTGACAGGCTTCTCAAGATGCCCCAAACTCTTAAGCTGCTAGCTATAGTAAACACATTGATATACTGTTATTTTACCTTCTTTCCACAGTAAAAGAGAATATGATCAAATAAGAGAAACACGGGATCGCCTAAAAATTTAGTACATTTATCACTCTGTGTGCAACGTTTCCTTCTCTATACTATTATTTTACCTTCTTTCCACAGTAAAAGAGAATATGATCACATAAGAGAAACACAGGATCACCTAAAAATTTAGTACATGTATCACTCTGTGTGTGCAACATTTCCTTCTCTAGTCTCTAACTGGCCACCAAAAACGCATGTACAAGATAAGCAGCCAACCCATCTGCACAGACAAACCCCACCCTCATACTTGAAAGCACACAGTACAGCTAACACAGTTAGCTCTGCTCACTTACAAATGAATCAGGACACTCATTTTGAAGGTTTATTTGTACCAGCTAGATGAAAGCTTGGAGACTACCATTTAATCAAAGGGATTTGCACAACAGGCCTTCAAACCCATGACTAGAATCGCTATACTCTGGTTCAACCCAGAAATTCAACACGGCCATTGATGAAGTGTCTCAGTCTCTCATTTTTGTCTGGCAATGGATGCCAATTGCCAGCATTGGTATTACACTCTTCAGGCCATACAGCAGTTTCTCTGTCTCCATCTCCAGGATCTCTGCTTTCCAGTGTGCTCAACTGGACCACTCAGGTCAGTCTCAGATTCAGTTAAGGGGTTCTGTAGGACTTCCAGTCTCCAGGACTTCTGCTTTACAGTGTGCTCAGCTGGAGCACTCATCTCTGTCTCAGCTTCAGTTAAGGGGTTCTGCAGGTGGTCTTTTCTGATAGCAGCAATAAATACACTGTTTGTATTGCGCACTTTGAATCAACTGTTGGGCACTGCAAACTTCAAAACCATTCTCCACCTTCACCTGTCAAGGCAATAATCTCTGCTCACATAAGAGGTCTGAAAAATGCGCTTCAGCAAACACCAACAAGAAATACATTGTTTGTTCAGTTTGTTCCATCTTCTTTAAGGCTTTAACCAAACCAGTCTGTGCATATTTAACTGAGAACCCACTGCAAATACAGGCATCACGTTTCTCAATCTTCCTTTTTCTCTCACACCAAGCATACAGGTGGTTTTTGCTGAGCCATATCAGGTGAGCTTAGTTTCACTGGAAGACACCCCCCCACCCCCCCCTAATTTTTCCTACCAGCTACCCCCAAGCCACTCTCAACTGAGTCTCATATGTCTTCTGAAACATTCCTTGAAAAAAAAAATCACCTCCCTCTGCTAGGGGTTCAGAAATACAGGTGGAACTTAACACGCTTCAGAAGCTACAAAGCAATAAACAGTAAAAAAATAAATTACCTCAGTTTCTATGCAAGTCTATGCGGACTTTTCCTACAACATCCAGCCCAGGATAACAACATTCAGCCTTGCATCTTCCAAAGCTACTGAAGACAAATGAGCATAGGACTTGTCACTCAGGGGTCCACCAGAATCTCAGTTTTCACTTTCATTAAGCCCAGTCTATTCGCTGTGGCTTCAACAGAAAATTTCCAACTATAAAAAGAAGCAAGCAATGCCTAGGCTTCTATACATAAACTGAAAAAGCTTTATGGTTTATGGTTTGAAACATCCACTTATCCACTTTATCCCAATGATGTTAGCTATGTACATCACGGGTGGTGATTTCACTACTGAAAGTGTGCAAGAAAATAAGGAAAGCAGTAAAGCATGGAAATGTGGGGTTTTCCCCTGTCATATAGAAGCAGGTTTGAAAAGCAGTTTGCAAGGTGCTAGAAAAAACACACGCAGTAAGATAGGTAAGTCTTTCACATTAAAGGAGCTGCTCAGCTTGCCAAAGTCTGAAGAAAAGTGTTCCAAGTAAATCATGAGTTGTTTTCACACCAACACAAGGGGAAACTGCGGTCTTTGGGAATTCCCAATACAAATCAGCAGCTTTCTGTGACTCCGAAATCTGTTTCAGAGTTAATAGCCAGCTGCTGCTGAAAATGTTAATTTATTCCGCCTGATGGAGGAAAGGAAAACAAAAATCCAGTCCAGCAGATACATGCTAAAATTATGACACTCTCCAAATGTAACAACATGTGTCTTTGGCTCCCTGGTTGAAAGGATTAATCTGATGTCAGACAAAAAGACATCCTGTAAAGTAGAAGCACTTGGGGAGAAAGGTTTGCTTTAAAGTTAAGGTTTGCCTTAAAGCTGATAACCAGGATACAATCAAATTCCCAATGCTACTCTTGAAACTGTCCAGACTTCACATTTCAGTAACATTATTAGATGTTTTCAAAATTATGCAGAAGATAGCTTTAGACACAAACAATTCTTAATCTCCAAGGACTAAGTAAAAATTGTAATCCTTCAAATCACTAGTAGGGAGGAAAAATATTATAGAATAAGTTATAGATATTTTTACTGAAGTCAAAACATGCATGAAAACTCCTTTTCTGTAGACTTTTCCCAAAATATCTCATCGAGAGAAAAATATTTATTTCAGAAGGAAATAGAGATCAGAGTCTCATAGAGAAGATTAATCATCCAGCCTTCAAAAACTATTTTGCTTTCTTTCCATGTTCTCTAACACTGGTACCTAATCAACCTCTCTCCACCTAAGCATTAGATACAAAGATTTATTTTGACAATGTATTTTGACTGTATATATTCTCAATGTTAGTTACCAGCCTCATGAGAGTTCAGTATTATGCCACAGCTGGCATCCAAGCATGAATACCCTAAACTGGTTTTACCTACAGCCTTTCCTTTTGCATGCAGTGTACTTCAACACTTACAGAGAAAAGGACGATAGATACAGACTACCATCAGGAACACCTTCTGCTTTAAAGTCTCATCAGTATCAATTTTTGTCAAGTAGGTAACTAGAAAAACAAATAGAAACTCAGACTTACCTGTAAACTACATTATGAAACGCACCATTAAGACAGCATCTCAAGGAAAACTGGATGAAGTTGTCTACCTTACATTTTCTTATGTTTGGTATTAAAATCTCTCAAGATAAGGAAAAAAAAAAAATCAACCTATCATGCTTCAATCTGTTCCTTAAAGTACAGGGTTTGTGTCTAGATTTGGCACCTGAAGAGATTACCATCCATTTCAATAGTTCATCACACAATTCACCCACGACACAGATGCACTGAAAAATCAGTAATTGTGTGATCTTAAAAACACTGTTACCTGCTTACTGAATTCATCAAAGTTCATAAGGGGCCCATTGTGGAATGTGGGATAATAAAACACATATGCCAGCATCCACAGGAACGAGTGGGATGACTTCTGGGCAGGTCCACGCCAGCAGTATTCCAGGCTGAAGCTGGTGCAAAAGAGGCAGCGGACAGACACAGTGAAGAGCAGCAGATAATACTCGTTTTCAGTGTCATACCACTTTCTCTGCAAGACAAAACAACGCCAGATCACAATGATGCAATGCTGGGCTTTCTATATAGCAAGACAGCAATGTCTACCCAGATCCTAACTTTCAGGCTCAACAGCAGCAGCAAGCAACTAAAGCAAACAGCAGCTGGAATAAGCATCTGAAGTGAACAGCAGTAATGTATGAAAAACAAGCACTGGCTGTTGATGGAGAAAGGGCCTCCAGACCTACTGCCACCAGCATAAAGATACAACAGCTTGATTTCAGAAACATATTAGGTTGTGAAGAACTATGACAGCAGGAGAGCTTTTCTTGCAGTAACGCTATTATCTCCCTCAGATTTGGTCCAGTAATACAATATCCAAACCAGCTGGCAACACTACTGACAGCCAAGGGACTGCTAGGGCTGAGGGCAAGGCTGCAGTTCAGATCTGAAGAGAATCAGTCACTCCTGGGGAAGCTTGAGTCTGGAAAGACATTACTGACCCTTTACCTAGTTTTTGACACTCCCCATCACACCTGTTTCCAACAACAAAAACACATCATCACTTAAAACTTGGGAACACCAGCAAACGTAGTCTGGCTGATTACATTTGTATTGCAGTGAGTCCTTTCCTTCTCTCAGCCATACACAAATCTGTCTACATCGTATGAAGAAACGCTACCCACTCCTCTCCCTGAACATTAGGGCAATAAACCTTACAAGATACGCCGAGTTTTTTACCCTTAGTCAAAGTAAATGCAAAAAGGACATTTCGTGACAACCAAACAGCAGTTTCTCTAAAATCTGTACTGCCCAGCAAAAGCCATTAGAGAAAGAGCAAAAGCCCAAAATTTGTACCAACCAGTTGTGAGCAAGCAATCAACTCATTTGGTACAAACCAAAGTGCTAGAGAAACAGTCCCCCTTTTCCACGCAGAAGACTGCAGTCACCAATAAGGTATGGTCAGGCTTGACTATGCAACTCCTGGATATGAACTCATAAATTCAGCACTTAAAGTTGATATGATTGCAGCTCCAAAGAATAAGAAATGTGTTTACTAGAGCACTAGTAAAGTATTACCATACTCCAGCTCTACTTAATACTACTTATGCATAAAGGCAAATACTTTAATGTCAATGCACCGGGCAACATGATTGAGAAATATGACTTTTCTAACTAGAGAAGCTCCAGCATGAGTCACTGCAGCTCTACTGCCTAAAGATTTTCAAGCCAACTTCTGCTTACATCAACTGAAGGGACAGTACTCCATAGATAGCTGCAGCAATGGACTAACACCACCATAATTAATTTGATGCTTAGTTAGTCCTTGTCACATTACCTTGGCTTCTTCCACAGCTGGTATGCGTAAAGTGGATAGCAGGATAAGGGAGCACAACCATGTCAGGAGTGACAGCTGAAACTGAGCCACAGCAAATGAAATAGTTGCATGTAACAAAATGACAGCAAAGCCCTTGATTCCCAGTAACAACCAGCAGGCAGCCATTCCATAAACCATCAAGCACCATGGTTTATACTGTTAGAAAAAAGAAAAAAAAAAAGACCAATTTTTAGTTTGATCATTTCTAAAGAAAAAAAAAGCACTCAGTATCTGTGCTGTCCTACACAGGGTCTATAGCAGAAACAAATGTAGTCAACAAGGTTAAGAACACATATGAAACAACAGAAGGAAACCCAACTGTATCCATGAAGATGGAAGGGAAGGGGTTTCTGTAGCAACGTGTGTGAAATTCAGACCCCCCTGATGTGGAGGAGAACATAACCTCCTCCTTTCCTTCCCCAAACTAGCAGGTGTGACACCACATGCCAGTCATTTCCCACAATCACACAATCATTGAGCCAAATGCCAAAACCCAAACAGTCATCACTTCAGTCTTGGAAAGGAATAACCATAGCCTTCTTTTGTGCACAGGTCAAATGACACTGGTTAACGGTTCACAACAAAGCACAGGTTTTCATGGGCTGGAGGCTGAAGTCTCCAAACACTAAGGCAACCAACCTACTCCCTGTCACCTGTGCATTGTTACAGACCCACTCACACAATTCACCCCACAGAATGGGATTTCCCACACTAATTAGCCTCAGTGCCAAGTTTCCCATGCCCAAAGTAAACTGAAACCCACAGAAACTCCCTGCTGTGAAGAAAATCCATACGTACCTTCTCCACCAAGAGCCTGGACACTTGCGATACCAGCAGGTGACCACCCAGAAGCCACAGTATTCGTTCCCTTCCCCATTCAATCCAGTAGCTCCACTCAAAGTCCATGGGGTCCTGGAGCAGCAAGGGAACAGGTCAGTATGTGTACCTGGCCATAAAAGCATACTCTTACAGGACAAGGAAAACATCTCCATAACACACCAAGTCTGTTACCCAACACCACAGAATTCAGCATCTGGGGAACATCTTGCTTCAGCAGTGCAGTCTGATCACTTACAGCAGTGAGCTCCAACAGCTCCACTTTGACTTCCCGCAGTGTGAAATTCAGAAAAAGAGCTTTAGATGGTGGTGTGGCTCCTAAACCCCACACTAACACTGAACCTGATCAAGCAGCGATCACTGCCATGGAAGTTTTCTAACCACAAAGAAGGCAGGGAGGCATGTCCCCACACACCCATCCTCCCTGGGACATGTGGAACAGGCTGGTGACTACACAGAGACACAGCCTGGAACAAGAGTCCCACTTCTCAGGGCTTCCCAGTCCAACACCTTGCTTCGGTTCCCCATCAGGAAGCTTCTTGGAAAACAACAAATTAGTCTGCTACTGCTGTTCCTGACCATCTCTTCAAACCCAACAAATTCACCTCTGCTTGCCGTGACCCTTTTAATTTTAGGATTTTTTTTTCCCATTTAGAAAGAAAAAAAAACAAACCAAAACCGTTTTGGACTACACTTAACCCATGCAAATTTTAGCCAGGAATTTTTCTTTTTTCAACTTCTGTCAGCCTTTTAAGAAAAATATTTTAAGAAAGGCGACAGAGAAGCAGAGCACCACCTTCCCTGTGCATGCTGCTCACCTCTCCTGAGGGATTCAGAGAGCAACTCTGCTCTCTTGGAAGACCAAGAGCTTGGGTGAAAAGGCACCTTACCAGAATAGAAGTTTCACTCCCTGTTTCAACAAAGCCTAGGTGGGATCAGATGAAGTCAGGTCAGCTGGAGATTGCAGTGACACAGGATTTTTATCTAAATTAGGTAAGAGGAATCAGTTGGCAGCCCTGTCCCTGATACAGAGCCCCACTAAAAGTTCATCTTCACAATTGCTTTATGACTTTCTTGAAAGGACATGTCAAGGGTCCCTTAGCAGCAGTGATGGTGGGACTAAACACCAAAATACTTCCACAGATATGCATTCCTGGTCTTGTGTAAATCCTCAATATTAGTTGCATTTCTTCAAAAGGATGTGAGGTCAAAAGCAAAACAAGGTGTGGGGGGGTGGTGGTTGTTCTTTGGTTTGGAGTAGAGGGGTGCTAGTTTTTGTTTTTTTTTTTTTTTTTTTTTTTTTTTTTTTAAGACCAATCACATTTCTTTAAGCCCTTATGCCTCAAAAACCTGTTCTCCTCTATGCTGGACTACAGGCCAACCAAGAGGAAAATGTGTGTTCACTAATGTTAAGTATTATCCAAACCACCCAGTGACAGGAAAAGGGGGGAAAAGGCCACAGGAAGTGTCAAGTGTGATCATAGCTTTTAAGGCCAAACAGTAAAACAGAAGGTTATTCAGTGATGTAACAAATGAGAAACACTTAGGCCAGGAATCAAGAAGTGAAATAAAACTTGGATTGCGATTCTTAGATCTAGACACACCTGGCAATTTCATCTTCCTCATTAGAAACAGACTAAAATTAACTACGAATATCCAGATCTTCAAAGTTACTACAAACCTCTGATGCTAAATCAGAAGCTTGGGTGAGCAAAGGGCACAGAGACACGATGTTCACGTTACTGACACAAAATAAAAGATGCAGTCACACATCCTACCTTTTTGAGGCCTTGAAAGAGAGTCCCTGGTTCCAGCCCAAACCTTCTGTCCATCGCAACTTCATACTCTGCAGAGACAAGCAAACCTTTGCTAAGGATCCAGCAGCCAGGGCAGGGAGTCAGGGATGGGGCCTCTGCTGCTCAAGAACAACACGTTTCCACATTGCCTCTGCTGATGGAGACACTCGGAGCCAGAGAAGTGCACATCAGCATGTCACTGCTCACCAGGCAAACCACCCAACTGGGCCACGGCTCTGCCCCACAGCAAAGGCAAAGCCACTGAATTGCCCAGAACCTGTGCTTTGATTCCCCCTTGCAACAAGGGCAGTAGCAGGCAGCAACCAACCTTCTACCACACAGAACCTGCACTAATCCTCATTTCTCCTTTCAGGGCCGCCTGGTTTCTCCTACAGGAGCAGAAGGGACACACAGACCTGACAGTGACCAATACAGCCACAGCAGGGCAAAGCCACTCAGAGATGCTGCCTCCAGAGTCCATTCCCATGCAGCTTTTTGCCACCTCCCCAAAAGATGTGCTGCACACATGGGTGCACAGCCCCATACCCATTTACCCAGCACTTCCTTCACTGCTCTGCAAGTGCCTTTCTGGCACTCCTGTTCTTCCCTTAAGCTCTTTTGAGAGCCAGCTAGGGTCATTAATGTAGAACACCTTGCTGATTAAAGCCCAACAGGATGCATTACACGTTTCCCTAATGAGCCCTTCTAACTAGCTATACTTTTATTAGATAATACCCTTTTCATTTCCCTTAAGATACCAATGTGCCAGAACACAGCTTCTTGTCATCTACAAATTGTATTTAAATTGTTTAAAACCCCACCCTTCCTTTACACTGCACAGCCCCACTGAACCAAAACCAAGCCACTGTAGCAGCTACCAAGAAAGAGGTTACACAAGGCACTGGTGCATGTTTGGAAACAAACTGACCCCAAAGCTGCACCGACAACCCAGCAGAGGAGCCCCAGAGCTTCAGGCCCCACCTGCCCTGGGACTTTCCAGGTTCAATCCCCAGCAAGCACCATCAGGAGGCACACCTGCTTCTGAACCACCCACCTCCAAGGGGCTGCAGGTGAGACCGTTCAAGACTAGGCAGGAAAAACAAAACAAAACAACAAAACAATTCAGAGCCAACATTCCTGCAATTCCCCCATTTGAGTAGCTGAGCTTCAGAGACCTCCCTCATCTTTTCCCCTGACAGCCGAGTGGCAGGTCACTAGTGCCGAGAGCCTTCCCAGCACTCAAGGTAGAAGAGCCTTGGGAAAAGCTCCCTGCCCAGCTGGCACCTTCCTCACGCAGGACTGGTTTGCAGCCAGGAAGAGGCTCAGGCACTCCTTGCAGAAGAGCAAAGTAGAAACCAACCCTGAGAGGACAACTCAAGCCGAGCAGCCCTGCCAGCCACGGGCTGGAAGCACCGCGGGAGCGAGCGACCACATCCGCACCGCAGACTTACTTTGAGACACTTGGTGCGCTTCGTAGAAAGCATAGAAGTGAGAGCCCACGGCGAGCAGCCCGTAGAGGCACATCTCCCAGGCCGGCAGCAGCATCGGCCCGGGGGCTGCTCCCCCGCCCCCCGGCAGCCCCCGCCGGCCGCCTCCCTGCGGGAAAAGAGAGGACGGGAGAGGTTTCCCTGCGGAAGACGGACGGGCAGCGGGACACACCGCACCGGGCACCGCACGCCAGGCCCTCGGTGCGGGACCCGGGCGGGCCGGGCAGCGGCCACCGAACGCGCCTCAGGCCCCGGCACTGCCGGGGCCCTGCGGCGAGGCGGGC